CTCAGGGTAAATATATCCTTGCCAAAAAAAGAGTGTTGAGTAATAAAGATAAAATTTTAGGAGGGTGTGGTCAAGAAAGAAATATATTAGTTCTCAATGGCTCAGAGAAATTCTCATTGAAGCTAAATCTTGAAGAAGGGTAAGATGTCAACAAGCAGGGAGGTAAACAGGAAAGAGTAGACCATCTGTGGAAAAATAAGTGGAAGACAAGTTGCCACTGGAGCATAATTATTGCAAATGCCCACCTAAGGATTCTGGCCTTTATCAGGCAGGCAAGGGAGAGTCAGGGAAGATTTGTGAAAAGAAATGACACGTGTGCTTAAGAAGAGTAACATTGCAAAGTTATGTAGCATGGACTGGAGAAAGAAAAGATCCTGCCACAGCCTAAGGGAGAGGAGAGGAGGGTCTGAACACAGGCAGGAACAATTAGCTGCAGAAAGAGTCAAGGGTGCAAAAGTTAGATGGCAGGTGAGGGTGCATGGTGAGGGAGCAGCAACACCATGTACCCATCATGTGTGGGAGAGGGTTTCAGTGAAGGGGGAAAACAGTATTGTTCCTCAAAAGGAAAACAGGGTCCGAACAGGTTTTTTGTTTTTGTTTTTCAAACTTAACGGGCTGTGAACACTAGAAGGCCAAGGTAAGGAGACTGTGAATGGTGAGACACTGAGCTATGCCAGAAAAGCCCAGATGGAATGTTCTGGCTTAGCAAAGATAGGCATTTCTTCTGCAGATGAAGATGAGCAGAGAAAATCACACTTTGAGCCAAGGAGGAGGAAAGATGAAGGACTCATTACTAGATAATCCTGCTTTTCACTAGAAAATAGCAAAGATGCTTGTCTGCGGGGTGAAAACCAGGGAAACAAAAATGTGGAAGCACCCCATAGGGATGGTTCAGTAAAACCAGTAACAGAAAAATGCAAGTCTTGTGAATTTCCAGCCAGAGTTAAGTAAAAGAATTTGAAGAGGGTAAACCCTTTTCTATCACTGTATCTCAGAGCAGGAACCAAGCTCCTGCATAGAAGACAAAGGAAGATCAAAGGGACAAGAGAGTCTGGGGAGTGGGACATGGGAGTGGAAAGATATGTGTGGCCTGAGAATAGAGGCCAGGCCCAGGAGGAGTCCAGAAGAGTCAGGGTTGAGCCCTTCACAGAACAAACAGAAAATAATAAATCAACAGAAAGTTTGTCTGAGCCAGTCCCAGTTTACATTTGTCCTGACTTAATTATTAAAAGCACCCCTCTTAATTACACCCCAAACAATGGAAGCCCCAGTGAATGAGAGGAGCAAATGCATTAAAAGTAGGGTAGGTAACGACTCCTGAGGACAGTTTTGTCAAAGAATCAAATCCAAACTCTTGAAGGAAGAGCTACACCACACGTGGATCAACTCTGTGCCATAGACTTATGAGCAAAAGTAAATTCAAGTAATAACTTTAGAAAGTTCAGATACCTGTGTATAGTCAAAAGTAGGCATGTGTATCCACTCAAGTCCAATCAGGAAAGAGAAACAACACAGTGAACTAAGCAGACAAACTTTAATTATTAAACTGTAATAGGAAAATAACTCTAAGATCTAAGAAAACTCTACATGGAACTCTAAGGCTGAAGAAGAATATCCAAGAAAGAAGAAACTTGGAAGGGTAACCCGTCCCCAAGGCTGGAGTGTAGACTTCATTGGAGAAGGTGTAGTTTAGCCCCTTGGGTGGCAGAGAAGTTCCCTGGTTTGTTCAGGCCCAAGCTTGTCTGCAGTCACTGAACAAGCTGGAAGCAACCCTCCAGACCTCAGGTGGGGGCTTGCAGAGAGAGTGGGGCTCAGTGGACACCTCTGGGTGGCAGCTGGGCTAACCACAGTTGCTACTAAACACTAACACTAACCTCTGCAAGGGTTTGCAGAAGAGATGGGCACCAGGAAGGGCAGGAAGCCTTTGGAGCGCCAGTTTCCATATTATGAGGGCCATGAAAAGGTTATTGCCAGGCTGAGGCTGCAAGGTCACCAAATGTCTGGGCAGGTGTCTTGGGAAGCACCCTACAGGATGCCTTTGTACCCACTCTGCTCACCCACCATGCAGTAGCTGGAAACTGCAGGAGAGCCCCTTCCTCCTGCAGTGCCTCTCCAGGGCTCTCTACTGAAAAAGCTTAACATTGTGCTTACTTTAAAGGAGAAATGATAAGAGGAATTCAGTCCATTATCACTGAACATATAGTGAAGGATGATTTTGGAGCTGAGTGGCAATAAATTGACAATCAGCATAGCACTCAATAAGAAACACGATATTCATAAAGAGAATATTAACACATTCTAAAACGAATTCTCAGGATTTTCTGAGCTGTTTTGAACTGAATATTTAAAGGAAGAAGACAGATTCTCCTGGAGATGTAGGTCTTTATTTCCAAAATAAATCAAAGTTGCTTAAAAATGAACCAGAGCTACTGTAAATTCATGCTGAAGCATTTCCAAAAAGATTTCCGTAGACACTTTAAAACACATGCCCTAAGAATATGGAAGGCCAGCAGAATTGGTTCACAAACTTGACATTGCTTGGGAAGCTAAGCTGAATAGCATCACCTGAGGGCAGTGTGGTACCAAAAACAGTGACAGGCCCCACATTTAGAAGGTAATGTATATTGCACACATTTGTTCCCCACAACAAGTGTAGGAGATAATCTGTCTTAGTCCATTCAGCCTTCTATAACAAAATACCATAGACTGGGTGGCTTACAAACAATAGAAATTTATTTCTCACAGTTCTAGAGGCTGGGAAGTCCAAGACCAAGGCACCAGCAGATTTGGTGTTTGGTGAGGGTCCACCTTCTGGTTCATAGATGGCACCTTCTTACTGTGTCTTCACATAGTGGAGGGGGTTTGGGGTCTCTTTCATAAAGGCACTAATCCCATTCATGAGAGCTCAGACCTCATGATTTAATCACCTCCCAAAGACCTCACCTCCTAATACCATCACCTTGGACATTAGGTTTTCAACATATGAATTTTGTAGGGACACAAACATTCAACCTGTAGAATAATCAAGACAGACTTTATTATCCCCATATGACACAGAAGGAAACTAAGTCAGAGGCCAGAACTCCAGTCTCCTGATCCAGTGCACTTGCTGGTTCACCACACTGCCTCTCTAAATCCTACTTCAAATTCTCCTACTCCAGGAAGCCTTCTCTTACTAAATACAGACCAATATCTTAACTTAGCATTCTAAGAAATTTGTCACATGGCATTACACAATGCCTAAGAACACTGGTTCTCTAACTTGAGAGAAACATCAGAATCACCTGAGGGCCTGTGAAAACACAGATTACTGGGCCCCACTCCTAAGATTTCCCATTCAGTAGGTCTGGGGTGGGGCCAAAATAATTTGCAAGTTCCCAGGTGATGCTGAGGCTGCTGGTCAGACCACAATTTGGGAACCATTGATTTAGAAGGTAGCAGGATCTTCACCCACATCCTGGGTTCGATCTGCTAGTCCAGCATAGAAGATGCCAAATGCTAATTTTCTCAAGCAAAGACTCTCCAAGAGTTTAGTCTCACTTTTTCTGGATTTCAAGGGCCTTGAGTGCCAAGAGACTACTTCCCTGATAGCTAACAGATGATTTTAACTTGGCCTTCTCATTTCTTGGTATCAGGAAGGTCTGTTGTTCCTCTAAGTTTCCCGCTCTTTCCTCTC